GGGAGCGGGCGACGGCGCGGCCTTGGGGGGCGGGTGGCCCCGCACGGGGGGGACACTTCTGGAAGTGCGGGGGAGGGGCGGGAACCCCGAAATTCGGCGCTTCCCTACCCGGCCTTTCTCCGGGTGTTTCCTGCGCAGACGAGGCCGGATCCCGGGCCTGGGTTTGGGGCTTCACCCCGACCCCACCTCCGGCCCGGCCCGCGCCGCCTCAGCCCCCGGGGCCAGGCCTGCCTTCCGCCCCCACAAACTGGTTTCTCCGCTTTGCTGGGCTCTGTCGGAACTAGTCCCTTTGACTCCCCGTTTCTGGTGTTTTTCTCTTTTCTTCCTGGGGTTTTATTTTTCGGGGAGGGTGTAGAGGGAGGGGGTTCTCTTCCTCCAGCGCGCGCCAGGTTTCCTGCCCCGAGGCGGGCTTGGGTGCCCCCTCTGGCAGGAAGTGGGGCCGGGTGCACCCTCGTGGCGGTGCATGCGGTCGGGGTGCGCAGTTTTCCCGCGCCTGCAGGAACGCCTGCGCCCCTCCCCCCGCCGGCCCTAACTCCGGGCCTACTGCCCCCAGGCACAAACTGCCGGCACCCGGGCCGTGGAGCTGGAGCTGGGGCTTACACAGACACTAGGCAGTGCGAAGATTTGGCGCGTTAGCAGTCACATGAATCTCCTCCATCCTCAACAACTTGCTGTGTGACCTTGGGCTTCTCATGATGCATCTCTGAACTTTTTTTTCTTTTAAATCTTTTAAGTAATGAAGTTGGCCAAGGTTCCCCCCCCCTTCCCCGGGGGTCATTCCTGAAGCCTTCCTTAGCATTTTCTGGACTCTTCTACTAAGGAAACAGGCTTGAGACTCAAAAGAACTTAATACAAAACAGGATTCGGTGCTGGTTTGCAAATGTAGCTTTTTTAAGTCAAGCTTCCCTGATGTTCCAAAACAGGTGGAAGAGACAAGTGTTTTCTTTGCCTCCCTAGATAGGCCTCCTAAAACCTTCATGTAGTGGGGGCCACCTAAAGTGGGAGAGATATAAAGGGACCCCAACAGCAAGCGGTGGGGGAGGCACCAGATGGCACAAGAGCTGGAGACTAGCCAGAATCCCCAGGCAGGCTGGGCCCTTGTTTGGGGGAGGGAGGGAGGGTGGGACTGGCTTTGCCCAGGGAGCCCCACTTAAGGGCCTCGGGCAGACCTTGCGAGGTCAGCACTCATTTAGCTGATTAATTTTGATGTTTAGTTTGAAGCGGACCTGTGGTGTAATATAAGATTCTAATCACTGCCTGTAATTACAGAGCAGACCAAGCCACTAATGATGGAGCAGGATAAATCAACCATCCTACTTAAAGGGGTCTCTTCAGTCTGAAATACTGCAAAATAAAATAATTACCAAAGCTCCTGTCCGGAGGGTCTCTTCATACCTCGAAACATCACAAGTCCCAAAACAATATTTTCATGTCATGGGGTTAAAATTGGAAAAATTTCCAGCAGTCTCATTCTCATTTTGATAGAAGTTCCTGTAAGTACGCTGTAGTTGATTGAAGGGCTTGTTGAGGCAGGTGTGGCCTTGTTAGCCCATTTTACAGATGGATAGGCTTTCAGAAGTGGGGCTGTGGGTGCTATTGCCACCCCCTAAGGGAGGACAGGTGGATGTTGGTCTGTAGAGGTGTGGGGCTTGAGCTCTCCCAGGCCTCCTGTCTAAACCTGGCTAATGACTGGGGGAACTGTACTGCCCCATATATGGGGCACTGTTCAATATGGCATAGCTCTGTCCTGCCTGAAAGTGCCCTTTGAAGTCTCCTGTGACTGCAGGTGGGCTGCCCTGTGTTCTGTCCCTTCTACCTCCCCATTGCCACTGCAGGGCCAACCATCTCTCCCTCACCTGTCCACACTACAGCATTCTCGGTGACTTACCCTAGGAGAGAGCAGAGGATAGGGGGGAGGCTAGGCTCCTGGTCTGCCAGTGTTTGGGCCCTTGGCAGTTGGTCCTCGGGCAGCCTTGTCAGTGTGCTGGGCAGAGGTTGACGTCCAAGGTCGTCTACCCACTTCTCATGCCCTCTGAACTGTCTGGTCATGGTTTCCTCTCCTAAGCAAGTATGGTACCTCCCTTATAGGAGACGGGCCCTTGACAGTGGTGGGACCCTAGAACTTGCCCACACCCACTAGGAGAGGGACAACAAAGGCCTTCTGAGCAAGAGACCAATTGCTGATGAGAGCCAATAACCCTCTTCTACACAGCAGCATGCTTCAGTGTGCCGAGCTTGCCATCCTGGTTCTAGTGGGAGTCCTGTGGCCACTGGGACCAGGCAGTTTGCACAGTGAGCCTTTGTAGGGGAGTGGACAGGGGCAAGTTGATGCATGATGTGTTTAAAAACACTTTACCTGTCTCTCAGCATCCCAGCATCACTGTTGACCTCCAAAGTGAAAGAAGATGAGTGAGTCGAGCTCGAAGTCCAGCCAGCCCTTGGCCTCCAAGCAGGAAAAGGACGGTACTGAGAAGCGAGGCCGGGGCAGGCCACGTAAGCAGCCTCCGGTGAGTCCAGGGACAACGCTAGTAGGGAGTCAGGTGGGTTTTGAAGCTTTGTCTTGCTTTACCTTTTTGGGCTAGAGAGGTGTTTAGTAGCTAATTACTGACTATGCATGACTGACTATGCATGGGAGAATGGAATCATTCCTGTAGGCATGTGTGTCCCTATTCTCCAGTGTGCTTATAACCTGCATGAGAACTCAGAGTGAGGTCCTCCAGATAATCTCAGGAAATTCTGGGGCTGATGTATACAGGTCCATTTTATCACCCCTGCCACAAATAAGTCTAAGCTAGAGGTGACCCGGTGCTTGTACTATGGTAAGCCAAGCTTACAGACCACTTGAGGACCGATGATGATCATCTTTAATATAGTTCTAAAAATGGAAGGATAGGGCTGGAAGGTGGCTTAGTGCTAGAGTACTTGCCTGGCATGCATGAAGCTGCCCTGTGTTCAACTCCTCAGTACCACAGGTATAGTCAGGTATGTAAGTGCACACTTGCAACCAACTTTGAAGAGGCAGGGGTAAGGAAGATCATGAGTTCCGAGGCCAATCTGGACTATACAGCACAACTGGTCTCAGAATTTAAAAATGCCAGCAAACCATGGCTGAGGGTGTGCCTGAAGAGTGCCTGAAGCAACTGCTTAGCAAGCCTGAGGCCAAGTTTCAACTTCAGTACTGCCAAGAAGAAAGTATATATTTTTTGCCCTGTTATGGATGGGAATGAAAGCCTCGTGCAGGATAGGCAAATGCACTCACACTGACCTATAACTTTTAAATGTACGGCCATAAATTTTTTAGAATCCCAGGGTTTAATAAATTATTTTGTCACAGTGCCAAAAGAGCCCAGACTTAGGCCAGTCATGTTTTGGGCTATAGTCCTATAGTAGGCCTTGCTTCAGGCTCTGTCAATGAAAAGATACTGAAGCTGAAAAAATTTAAAGTTATCAACCTGGTGGAAAATGAGGTGTCCCAGTGGGCAGTTGAGGGTTGGGTGACAAAGCCACTGCTGTATGATTAGGAGCTTGCCCTTTTTTTTGTTTTTTGGGTCCAGTCGTGGGGCCTGAACTCTGGGTCTGGGCGCTGTCCCTCAGCTCTTCAGCTCAAGGCTAGCGCTCTACCACTTGAGCCACAGCGCCATTTCCGGCTTTTTTTTTCTGCTTATGTGGTGCTGAGGAATCAAACCCAGGGCCTCATGCATGCAAGGCAAGCGCTCTACCACTGAGCCACCTTCCCAGCCCCGAGCTTGCCTTTCATAGAGGCATCTGTCTTGTCTCCCACATGAGGGGTAGCTGTTGGTGAAGCCCAATTTCTTAACTGAGAAGAGTGGTGGAATTTAGCTGTCCCCTGGCATCTGAGCCAGGCAAGCCCCCCTTCCTCCCCACCTATGGTCAACACTAATGGACCATGGTTCTGAACGCTTGAATATCCCTGTGCCTGCTAGGGACAGTGGCCAGTATGACTATCCTGCCCAGCTTCCTCATCTTGTACGGCAACTTCTTTCTTTGGGGCTTAGCAACAGCAATAAGGACCAGCATGTCTGAGGTCTTGGGTATAATTCCTCTTCTTTGGGGGCAGCCCTAGAAGGGTATCTAGCTGGTTTAAGATGGTCAGATTGGGTGGTGGCCTGCTGCCCTATGTTGGGGTGACTTAACTCCACGGGGGTGGTGCAGGTGGTAGCTGGGTCCCTGACTTGCCCATTTGTCATTTCAGAAGGAACCCAGTGAAGTGCCAACACCTAAGAGACCTCGTGGCCGACCAAAGGGGAGCAAAAACAAGGGTGCTGCCAAGACCCGGGTGAGGCTTGAGATGGGCTGCCCTGGGCAGATGAGAGGAAAGGTGCTCAGCAGCTCTGCGGAGGGCTGCAAGTCTGCATCTCCCACCCTGGGTCTCTGATAACGAGTAACTGGAATGGGGACTGAGATCTCAACATGAGTGGCCCCGATCCTGCCCAGGATGAATGGGGAAATCAAGTCAGGGGTCTGTAGCTATCCTGGTCTAGAGAAGAAATAGAGGAAATTGAAGGGATTCTGCCAGATCCAGACCAAACGTGTCACTTTTATTCCGGAACCTAAAGGGGTAGGTAGGGTCAAGAGGAGAGGGCCACATTCACAGTGGCATCCTTTCAGGAAAATTGTTTTTTTATTTTTATTTTTCTAAGACACGACTCATATCCTCTGAGTCACAGCTGGAGGAAGAAGGGGTCAGGGGTGGGTGGGGGACAGGTGTGGCTGACCAGTCATCAGCAGCTGGCCTTGGGGTAGGCCTGCTGGAATGGGGTCCTGGCCTGAGCAGAGGTAGGCAGTCTGCCCGCCCTTCTGCCCTGCTCCCTTCCCTCCCTGCAAGGCTGCAGGCCTTGGGGAGCACAGCCCAGTATTTTTTTATTTTTACTTAAGGTATGTTTGTTTGCTTTCTGATCTTCTAGAAAACCACCACAGCTCCAGGAAGGAAACCAAGGGGCAGACCCAAAAAACTGGTATGTGTTCCTTGCGTGGGGGCTTAATTGTGGGGAAGAGGTTAATTCTGTGTATCCACCATGGAAAAACGACTGACACCTTTGGGGCCAGCAAGTACTAGGACACCCAGCACTGTTGTTCCAGAGGAGCCTTGTGTTAGGTGTGCATGTAGCCGACACTGGACTTGAACTCTCCTTCTGCCTCTACTTCCTAGTACTAGAAGTGCAGGTGTGTGCCACCACATTGTCTGCCTGGGGCTTTTAAAGTTCTGTGCCTTTCAGAAGGGAGGGTTCTCAGATATAGTGTCCTAGAAAAGGGGTGTCTGTGTTTCATCTCATAGGTTCCTCCAGCTAGGGTGAATGGAATGAATCCTTAATAGGCTTCTCTTAGAGCAAGAAGTAGCAGAGGGCTGGGCGCTGGTGGCTCACGCCTGTAATCCTAGCTACTCAGGAGGCTGAGATCTGAGGATCCAGGTTCAAAGCCAGCCCGGGCAGGAGAGACCGTGAGACTCCTATCTCCAATAAACCACCAGAAAACCGGAAGTGGCGCTGAAGAGCTGAGGGTCAGCGCCCAGGCCCAGAGTTCAAGCCCCACGACCGACAAAAAAAAAAAGTAGCAGAGGATCTCGTCTTGGGTTTCAGCAGCAAGTGGGAGTTACAAGGCAATTCTATCACTGCTCATGGGGAGGGAGATACCATCCCATTCTTGGGTCTCCAAATTGGTTGTGGGCTAAGACGGGGCACTTTCAGGGTACCATGCAGTGACAGGCACCCCACCCCAGTCTTCCTGCACCTGGCTCTTTTCTACACATAGAACCTGTTTCTTAACTCCCTAAGACATTCACTCCTTGAGCTAAGCCACTGCTGGGGTTGGTGGGGGGGTGGGCGGGTAGGGGGCACTTCTGGCCAGGGTCCAGAAGTGAGTAACAGGAAACAAGTTGTTTTGGAGTTTGTGCCTGGCACGCGGCTGTGGGGCCCTGTGATGTCCTGACATTCCCGCCCAGTGAGTGAGCCCTGCTGTAGCACACTTCCCTTCCTCCCCACCCCGGGCTGGGGTCAGCCTTGGGCCAACCGAGGACAACCCAGAGTCAGGGCCCCTGTGCCCACCCTGGGTCTGGCATCTCCTGTTGGCCCCTTCCCATTTCCTGCCCTAGAGAGCCAAGTGCTTTCCTCCATGCCTTGGGGCTCTGTCTTGCCTGAGCCACCTGGGGGCTGAGGGGCCTGGCTCTGCTGCTGTGCCAGACAGAGCAGCATAGCATGTGTGTGGTTTTTTTCCTCCTTTTAAATCCTTCGTTTTTATGAATGAAAGCTGCACGGAGGTTGCTGACTCACCCACACACTCAGGCCTGACTCATCCCCCTTCTGGAGAGCCTGGGGGGAGTGGGGGGAGCCTTGGGCAGAGGGAGGTCAGGACCAGAGCTGCTCTGCCCTCCCTACAGGAGAAGGAGGAAGAAGAGGGCATCTCCCAGGAGTCCTCAGAGGAGGAGCAGTGACCGCACAGTGCCGACTGCTCCCTGGCTAGGAGCAGCTTCCCTCTGGGACTGGACAGCGTCGTTCAGCTCCCACAGCCCCCTTCCCTGCCCTCCTCCCCCAAACTGCCCCCAGTCCCCATGCGCCCTCCCCACCGCACACTACAGCACACCAGCGCTGCAGGGCTCCTGTGGCGAGTGCTTTCCTCCACCTCCCCGTGCCCTTCCCACCCACGCACACCTGCCTCTCCCAGACAAGGCTAACTTCCCACTTAGCCGCAGCGTGCACCTGCTGCGCCCCCACTCCCTTGTGGAGAAATTGCTCTCTGAGCTCTTGGTTTGGGAACTTGCTCTGCTCCTCCACTGTTGCCTCTAGCTTCCCTTAAAGGGGCCTGGGAGGGCTCCCCTGGCCTTACGGGGGCCCATGCCCCATCCATTTTGACATGCCCACTCTGGCTATACTGGCCTCAACCGGGGTTATTCAACCCCCAGCCAAACTGTCCCCAGTGGCCCATCTGCTCTCCCTCACCTCCCCTGCACTGGGTTGGACAACCAACCCCTTGTGGGAAACAGGTAAGAGGGCAAGAGGTGGGGCCCCACCCCCCAGCTTTCCCATGGGATCTAGCATCCCCATTTCTGCTCTAGGCGGTTCCCCTCATCTGTGGGGCACTAATAAGGAGCTCGCCCTGCCTACCCCCTCCCTCGCCTGCCCACACCCCTCCCCCAAGGTTCTGGTTCCATCTTTTCCTCTGTTCACAAACTACCTCTGGACAGTTGTGTTGATTTTTTTTGTTCAATGTTTCATTCTTAGACATCATCATTGCTGCTGCTACCAGCGCCAAACATTCAGTTCATAGCCTCCCATTCAGCCCGCGGTCCCCTCCTCCCCCAGGATACTTCATGGGGGAAGGGGGTCTGGGGCACAGCAGGCTGGGTTGCAGACCACCCCAGTCCCAGGGAAGGTGGGGTCCTGCCCCGAGGATGCTGCAGCTGAGTTGTTGGGGGGGGTCCATGTTGATTGTGTGAAGGGTGTAGGGGCCACTGTCTCCCCTTGTCCTGTTGGGGAGGGGTGGCCATTACTTGTCCCAGCCTGGGGCTCCCCCTTTGGTTTCCTATTTGCAGTTACTTGAATAAAAATATCCTTTTCTGGAATGGAGTTTGTGGTTTGTATTCTAGACTTAGAATGTGTGCAGAGGAGAAAACCAGGCCGATGGCCTTGTTTTCACACCCCACAGGCTGGGGACAGGAGGGCAGTGCAGTAGCAGCAGGGAAGTCCTTTTAAGCCCTTAAAAAATAACCCACATTACCAGCCACAAGACATTTTATTTACAATATATATAAATGTGTATGTACTGAGTGCTATACATCTGGGTTGGTCACCATGGAAACAGTTCCAAAACCCTCTTGGGGGATTTATGCCAAAGCCAAGTCCAGGCAGGCTGGTGAAAGCAAAGCTATCTCCCAGCAGCCCCACCCACCCCAAGGGGAAAGCTGCCTTGGGGTGGGTGTAGCCTTAGTCCACAGGGTTGGTGGATAAGTGGGAAAGGAGAATTGAAGGCCCAGTGCTTGGGGCAACTGTAAGACCCACCCTAGGGGTTCTGTAGGTCAGGGCTATGGGGTCAGGTCTTGACATCCAGCAAGGGCATCCGCTTGTGCTGGTAGCCGCTCTGCCAGCCGTGTACCACCTGTGGGGAGAAGCCATGCTTGAGGGTTGGGTTCAGCCTCCTGGAAGTCTGCAGGGAACCCCTCACCCTTCATAGTCATATGGAAGAGTGCAAGAGCTCTTTCCAGGCTCTGGTTTGAGCAAGTAAGGGCAAGAACAAGTGCTCGCGCCTTCACTGTCCCCTTAGAGTGCTCACCTTGGGGTCTCCCACATCAGAGAGAAGCTCCTGCTCTGCCTCATGCAGCTCCTCAGCAGGGTCGTAGCTGTACATGGGGAGGAGGTGATGGCGAAGGCGGTCCACCCTGGGGAATAGGAGGGGATTAACCCCAGCTCCACTGGACAGCAGACTGCCTCATGTCCACCTCCTGACATGAATTAGGTATTCCTGACCCTGGGGCTATGAAAGGGGTCATCCCAAAGAGGAAGCTAAGAGCAGGACCAGTGAGAACAAAGTGCCCTATCTTGGATCTGGATAGCTGAGGTGTATCAACAGAAAGTAGAGAACTTAGTATAGGAAAGAAATCTGGGGGCTGGGAAGATGGCTCAGTGGTAGAGCGCTTGCCTTACATGCAGGAGGCCCTGGGTTCGATTCCTCAGCACATTAGCAAAATGAAAAAAGCCAGAAGTGGCACTATGGCTCAAGTGGTAGAGTGCTAGCCTTGAGCTGAAGAGCTGAGGGACAGCGCCCAGGCCCAAAGTTCAGGCCCCACGACCGGACCCAAAAAAAAAAAATCTGGACGTGGGTGTGGGGCAGGGGCAGGAACACTCACCGCTTTTTCTTCTGGATATACATTACCTGTAACAGAGACAGCACTGTGAAGGCTGTGGTGCCCAGATAGGCCCACTGTTTGGGAGTGCCAACCTCTACCCCCTTCTCTCCATTAAGGAACAACTGAGATGCTATGTGCACTAGACTAGGCCCACCCAGCACATGCCTTGGCAAAGGTGTGGATGTCTATTTGTGTATGTCGGAGGCTCCTTACCACAGCCACCACCACTCCGACCAAGGTGATGAGGAAGAAGGGCCCCAACACATAACCCACCATGGAGTCACTGTTGGCTTGGGGGGCATTGGGCACTGTCGTGTTACTCATGACATCGGCAGGTGGAGAGCTGGGTGGTCAGCATGGGCAGCAGCGCCTCGGGAGGGCGCCTCCACTGGGCTCCCTGGGAGAGGAAGGGAGGTTTATCAATTCTGCCTACAGAGTTAACACACTCTGGTCCCTCCCCTGGAGTTGGAGATCTGTGAACTCAGGTCAGCCAATATATCCAGGTAGGTGTCTGCTGAGTGATTCCTCCCCCTGCTGCTCTTAGCTGGTGGGAAGGGAACCACGGAAGGCCCAGCTCCAGAGCCTGCTTCCTGCCCAGCTCCTATGCCTACATCTGGGTGGGGCCCAGCTTAGATACTGGTTCAACATTTGCAAGTCTCCACTGCTGGGGAAAGGTTAGGTGCAGTTTCTCGGCTCCTGCTCCAGACCACTGGGAATGTCAGCACCTATCCAGTGAAGCAAAACAGAAAGATTAAATAAACAGGAGGGTCCTACACCGACGCCTTGGGGTGATTTAGCCTTGAGTCCCGAGTTAATCCCCCCTCTACTGGCTGAGAGCCCCAGGCCTAGACTTGTATGCCCTTCTTGTCACCCTAGACGCAGCACCGGTCTCGTACCAGTGTGGACACTGGGTAGAGCTGGACTCTTATCTTCGAGATGATGTCACCGCCCTCTGGTCCCCAGCCGGGGCTCCGCCCAGGTCCCTCCCTCCTGTCCTGGGCTGACCGCGGAGGTGGAGGGTCAGCCCAGTCAGGAGAGAGATCGCCCTGGGGCTGTTGCACAGGACGACCCGAGTTCGTACCCCGGGTTCGCTCGGGTCTATCCGGGGGACAGAGTCCGCGGGGCACTGGGTTTGCCGGTGCTCAGTCGCAAGCGCCCCGTCCCGGACCGAGGTGGTAAGCCCGGATGGAGCGGGCATCGGGCCGCGCCTAGGCGGACAGGGGCAGCTCTCACCAAGGTGGGAGGCTCCGGGGTGTCGGAAGAGCGCCGAGTGGCCAACCCTCACGGGGCGGCCGGGAATCTCGGCACCCCAAGGCGCGGACCCAACACGGCGCTCCGCAGCCAAGCCTCCCCCGCGCGCCTTACCTCCCGCTGCGGCAGCGCCGACCGGAACGCCCCGAGTTGGCTCCCGGGCCCCGGAAGAACAGGCGTGCGCGTGATCAAAGGACCCGGGAGGTGGGCGGGGCCACGGCCTGGCCGCAACCAATCCCGTGGTGAAAGGAGTCTTCCGGAGCCTCCAATCCAGAGGAGGGTGGGCGGTGTGAAGGCGGGGACGGCCGGCTTGCAGGGCCCCCCCACAGCTGCAGGGGGCAGTCGAGGGCCGCGCGGTTGGTGGGGGTGGGCGCAGCCCAGGCCACAGCGCCAACTGCGGGCGCTGGAAGTCATCTCCTGCGGCTGGCTTCACCTTTCTGGATGAAGCCCGAGTTTAGGGTCACTCCGTGACTTAACACGGTTGTTTTTTTGTTTCATTGTCTTTAGTACAAAGAGGCTTCAGTTCAACATGTCAGTTTGTACGATGCATCTTGATCAGCGTCACGTCTTCCACCAGTCTCTCTCATCTCTCCCACACCATCCATCCCCTCAAGTTTAGGACCCTGGCCAGGCTCAAGAGGCCTAGGGCTGTGCCCAGTGGGCACAGCTGTGGGACCATCAGAGGAACAGCTGTCGGGAGGAATAAGTGAAGACATAAAAAGAAGCCCAGTATGTACAGTCTTGAATGTTAAGCTTCTCGTGATCACCTCTTGGAGGTTTTGGGGAAACACCAGCAGAACAAAGGGGTCAGTGAAACTTTGGCAAAAGCTTTCCTGGTCTGATCATCAAAATGGCCCACAGTCACTCAGAAACCTGAATAAGTGGACTTTACCGGTTTCAATATCCTGTTTGTGATTAGTTTTGCCAAATACTCCATCAAGAGAAACTCGGACAAGTGCACGAGAGAGCTCTTTTCTTATTGAATGCAGGTCCTCACACAGCTTAAATGAGTGCCCATATATATATAATTTTTTTGTCATGAAGTAAATCTTTATTAATTTGTGACAAATTTTCAAGCCAATTCACTTAGAAAGAGAACTTTTTTCAAGAAATTATGCTG